AGAGAGGAGGGAGAGAGAGAGAGAGAGGAGGGAGAGAGAGAGAGAGAGGAGGGAGAGAGAAACCCTTGTCCTTATGTGTGTATTTCTTAATATTTTGTTTTCTTTCTTTTCTTTATATGCAAACACATGCACAAACAGAAACATACGTAACATACATAAAGGTGCACTTGAAGCATTCAGCAGCATGCTTATACAACCACACCAATTGGCCAAAACTACTGACAGTATATAGAATAACCATTTCCACATTTCAAATCTGCATTCAAATCAATCTCCTGTGTTCCTTTCATTTTTTTGAATCAACTAAATATTTTATTTTAAAATGGACTTTGAAGTTAGTAATTCAATTTTTTTAACATGGTAATGGGAAGGCCTTTTGATATGCTAGGGTTAAATAATTATATAACATAAATAGCTCTATCTTTACATGGTTAATACAATATGACAACTTGGAAATATTTGTTATTAATCTAATTTGATTCTAAAACTCAATATCCTAAATTCTCTTGCAACTTCATAGTTACCAATATGTTTTCTGAATTGTGATACTCTTGTTTTCTTGATACTCTAAATCAATCTAATAGAAGCCTTCTTGCTGATTGATTTTTGAACACCACTTCAAAAATCCCAATTAGATCATACAAATAGAAATCCCCAAACTGCCCATTACATATTCACATTTTTAACAATACCCTTGTAATTTGTCATACATATAATGCTGACCATCTTAGTGGGGGTACTTTTATAACATCTTTTATAATTAAACCAGTACATTTCTATCCAACTAGACATCAGAACTTAAAGCTAACCTAGACATATCCTGTAACTCTTTCTTGTAATAGATCTTGAATCAACTTAAAACACATGATTATGCAACCTAATTCATTTGCACTGATTTTTATATATGCATATTTAGAGGAATACTTGGTTAGATATAAAATGTAAAATAGCACATTTCCTCAAAACTTTCAATCTCAAGTCTAAACTGATTCTTAGCTTACTTGAAATATGTTGACTTTCTTGAGCATTGATGTCACACTGTCACAATCTGTTAATTGAAGCGACTGATTAATAAAAAATTAAACCCAGTCCAGTCTTTAAGCCCGAAGGCACAATAAACAAAGCTAACTCCATACACAATGCTTCATGAATAGTTACTGAAAAAGCCTAGGAAGACTACAGTAATAACCATACCTCTTACATCATTTACTCATGTCTGAAATACTTATGACTATAAAAAGGCAGGAATTCAAATATACTGTAATAATCAACCTCTAAGAAAATGATCTACCTGACTTGTATTTCAGATTCAAAACCAGAACTGATGAAAAAATTGTTAGATTCCTTTGCATGTATCTTTTAATATAAACACAATACAGTAAGTCTGAATGATTCAGTATGAACAGTTTTATTATCTTTTACAACTTCAATTATTAGCTGATGAAACAAGTTACTAAGTAGTTTAGATTATGAGAAAATCATTCACATCCATAAGCCTACTAATAACAAAAAAACTTAGTATAGTTAATATAACCATTAACAATTTGCCTAACTTCCTGGTAAAGAAAAGAAGTAATTTTTAATTATACAAATATGGAAATCAAATAGATAGTTTTATTAAGAATAAAGACCAAGTGCTTAAATCCTGCAATATTAAAATATCACCACAAATATGCATTCTACAAAAATAAACATACAGCAGTCACTATATTTATGGAGGTAAATTTCCTACTTTCAAAGACAAATCACCATGCCTTACCTTTCCCTCATCCTCATACAACTCTGACCACCATTATCTAACTTCATTTCACAATGTTCTTAGACCACCATTTGCCATTCCTAATTATGAGCAAGCGTGACTTTCCTGTGCTAGGATGAACTTTGATAACTCCAGGATTTTTAAAATGCAGTCAATATCATACAAACTGATCATCAATATTTCAAAAATTAATAAACACTGACTTAGCATACATCACAATGCAAATGGTTTTACCATGCCTACAGAATTAACAACTTTATCAATCCATCTCTTCTGCAACAAAATTGACTGGATGTCACTTCATAAATAAACAATTAACAAAACTGAAACAAATGTTTTGTAACTGCCAAAACCATCACTTGATTGTTATCACAGGAGAATATTGCTGCAGGCATATTTTTTTATTTTTACATAATGATGTAAAGTCTGTAGTATGAGCAGTTTAATTGTGATTGCGAATCTCTGTGTAATATGGCTTTATCACTACTCAAACTTCTTAAACAATTCTCAATTTCATGTTTCACAAATAAAATCATGAGAAGTGATGCTGGAACTCCATCCATCCTGGTTGCCTAGCCACCAAGCTGACTGAGGTACATGCTAACTATGTTTGCACAGCAGTTTGTAGTCAAGTCTGAACAGCGGTTTATAGGTTACCTAAATATAAAACTTCAAAGGTCTACTCTCTGCATGAGGATGCACAGTGCACGACTCAAGAACACAATCAAAGCTACGGAAGACCTTAAAACAACCATGATCCCTGGGCTCAGGCAAAAAAATTTTTTACTGTAAAATAAATACCTTTGTAACAATCATGTGCAATAAGTTGAGAAACTTACTCACATGAAGAGAAGAGAAAGGTAAATATTTATAAAACAAAATCTTAACCCATTCGCGCCGGGCGTCACGTATACGTGACGGGCCCACTGTGAGTTTACTTGTTTGATTGTTTACAAACATAGATGGCTGCACTTGCACTGCCTGTTTCGTCTGTTTACCCTTTTCTTTAATTTACGAAATTATTTTGCGTTATCGTATTTTGCTGTTACTAATGTTTATAACATTATAGTAATTGTAATGTTTATAATAAAAATAACCATTGATATTCATAGCACTAGTAAAAATACATTTTCCCGCCAAATGAAATCAGGTAAAGCAGAGACATCTAGTGTAGAGAAATTTCATTTAAAAATATAAAAAATGAAGTTCATTTTTACCAGGCGCAAATGGGTTAAAATATATTTTCTATGATCTAAAGTAATTCAGAAACTGAACAGTAATATATTAAAAGCTAATATGTAAATCAATATACATATATATATGAATAAATAAACATGTGTATATGTATATTAATAAACATGCATACATGCACACACACACACACACTTATTTGTGTGTGTATGTACATACATGTAAATATATCTAGATACATATATACATATATATGTATATGACATATACATATCATATATGGATATATAAATATAAGTATATATAAACACATATACATATATACATACACATATATAACATATGTATATATAAATATAAATGTATATAAAACATATCCATATTTATACAATACATTTACACATATACATACATAAACCCATATACACACACACACACATATATGATATATATATACATATGTATCCAACCACATATACATATGTATCCAACCACATATACATATGTATCCAACCACATATACATATGTATCCAACCACATATACATATGTATCCAACCACATATACATATATATATATATATATATATATATATATATATATGCATGCAAACATATACATACATATATATACATATCCACACACACATACATATATACATATATATCCACACACACATACATATATACATATATATCCACACACACATACATATATACATATATATCCACACACACATACATATATACATATATATCCACACACACATACATATATACATATATATCCACACACACATACATATATACATATATATCCACACACACATACATATATACATATATATCCACACACACATACATATATACATATATATCCACACACACATACATATATACATATATATCCACACACACATACATATACATATATATCCACACACACATACATATATACATATATATCCACACACATACATATATACATATATATCCACACACACATACATATATACATATATATCCACACACACATACATATATACATATATATCCACACACACATACATATATACATATATATCCACACACACATACATATATACATATATATCCACACACACATACATATATACATATATATCCACACACACATACATATATACATATATATCCACACACACATACATATATACATATATATCCACACACACATACATATATACATATATATCCACACACACATACATATATATCCACACACACATACATATATATCCACACACACATACATATATACATATATATGCACACACACATACATATATACATATATATCCACACACACATACATATATGTCCACAAACATATACATATATATCCACAAACATATACATATATATCCACAAACATATACATATATATCCACACACATACATATATACATATACATATATCCACACACACGCATACACATATACATTTATATATCCACACATATACATATATATCCACACATATACATATATATCCACACACATATATACATATATATCCACACACATATATACATATATATCCACACACATATATACATATATATCCACACACATATATACATATATATCCACACACATATATACATATATATCCACACACATATATACATATATATCCACACACATATATACATATATATCCACACACATATATACATATATATCCACACACATATATACATATATCCACACACACATACATATATCCACACACATATACATATATATCCACACACATATATACATATATATCCACACACATATACATATATATCCACACACATATACATATATATCCACACACATATACATATATATCCATATTTATATACATATGTACACACATTTATGTATATAACATATACACAGTTGTTTGTGTGTATGTACATGTATACACATTATATACATATATATACACACACATATCTGTTCACATGTATACACACAGATAGACACTATATATATATATATCTATACATGTATACACATATGTACACACACACACACACACACACACACACACACACACACACACACACACACACACACACACACACACACACACACACACACACATTAACATGTTAATATGGAACAACTTGGGTTTGTGTGGAAAAATTTAGCTTCGGACTTGGATCACAAAACCATGTAATCTTAACCCCTTAAAAACGGGCGACGCCAATAGGCGTGAAAACAAACCGCTCGAAAGCTGGCGTGCGGCTGTACGCCACGGCGGCGCACCAGTGATTCGGGCTGGTGTACCGAACTCATCCACTCAAAGCCGGCGCCGCCATTGTTTGCCAGAGCGTAGAGTTTTTTTTCGTTTTCTTCACCCGTCACCATTAGTTTAAGAGGGCCATCTTGCCAGGAGTGCACAAAGATCTTGGAGGGAGAAAACTCTCAGAGAGCCTTCAGAATGAAGCTCGAGCATTACTTCCACTATCTGTAAGCCAAGCCTGAAGAGGGCTGGCTCCAATGAGGACACTATTTCTATGCTTGATACCCTATTCCCTATTCTATGCTTGATAGCCTATTACTGCTTTGATTGGCAGCATAGAAAACTGATTAAAAAAAGTTACTGTAGTTGTGGACAACCTGGAGAGATTATAGAATATGCTCAATGAAAATCTAGTACCATCTTGATACAGCATAAAAAATGATGAAACAGACCTTGAAAATGGCAAAACAAATTTTGAAGAATTAATAGTATAGCAATGAGGAGGCAAGGAGTCACTCCTGGGTGCCTTGCCAGGCACCCAAGGAGTGTCACCACTCAAGCCTAAATGCCAGATTTTGGTCCACATGCATTGACAGAAGTTCTTCCTTGTGTCATTGTATATACATACAAGATTCTAAGAATACATTCAGAAAACATTTTTTTTACCTAATAAAATACTGAAAATCCCTATCAAATCAAAAAGTGTCAAACACTGAGCACTTCCTGCTGCTGCTGTACTTGTTTTGATTATGCTTTCTATGTGCATCTAAAGATATCAAATGACTATTCATAGCCAAAAGAGACAGGTAAAACATTAAGTA